TTGGCCAGTGCTCTCAGGGTGATTGTTGGGGTGTCCTGGGCAGGGGTTGGACTCTGATCCCTGTGGGTCCTTCCAGCTGGGGATGTTCTGTGATTAAAATGATGTCTCAGCAGTACAGATGTTCTGATGTTTCCTGAAGCTCTCTGTTATCCCACCTCACCCTGTGGGTTGCTGTGTGGACCATGCTGAACGTGCAGTGTTCACCCTGCTGAGACACTTTTGACTTCTCCTCCTAAAGCCCTTTGTCTCCCTCAGCTGCTTCCTGCTGTGCATGAAGGATGACAGCATTGAGGGCATCTATGACACCCTGAAGCAGTGTGCCCTCATTTCCAAGTCTGCTGGGGGCATTGGCCTTGCTGTGAGCTGCATCCGAGCCACAGGCAGCTACATTGCTGGGGTGAGTGCAGGGGACCCGGCACAGGGAGCACTCCTGCTCCCAGGGATGGGCTCTCTGTGGGTTGTCACCTCTGTGCTGCTCTGCTGGCTCAGGTAAATCAGCATCGACGTGAGCTCAGTGTTCCTTCTCTTGCCCTAAGGCAGGAAGGTTGGTTTTCCATTGTGTTTTGGCTTCCTAATAGAAATCATTCCAAGAAGAGGATTTGATTCCACTGTTTGTTCAGACAATCTCAACCGATTTGTGTATTAGCAGCTGAGGTTTATACCCAAAGACCTGTGCATTCCTTTCTGCACCTCTAACTGCCCCAGGCCCTGTGTGGATGTGTGCTTGGGGTTTTGTCACAGTGTCTGTGACCCCTGCAAACCTTCAGGTGACATTACACAGAGGAGAGAAGCTAGGAGGGACATTTATTGACCCTGGGATGAGCAGCTGATTTTTGCCTAGCTGCCTTTCAGCACTGATGGTTTTCCTGTGTCTCTGCAGACAAATGGGAACTCCAACGGGCTTGTTCCAATGCTGAGGGTCTACAACAACACAGCTCGGTATGTGGATCAAGGTGGAAACAAGGTAATGACTTTCCCTTCATTAACTGGGGTCCAGAAGGCTCCCTCAGGTCAGAGGGAGAGGTTCCACTCCTGGGGAGGTGTCTCAGTCACAGCAGGGAGTTGCTGGAGTGGCTGTGGGTGACGTGATTCCAACAGAGCATTTCCCCCCTTGTGTGGGTCCTCTGGTGTTCCCCTTCAGTTAGCTCAGGCTGTTGTGTGCACTCAGGGCAGTGCAGGAGCTTTTCTGCTCAAGGACAGTCTCTCCTGACCTTGGCTCTGTTCCCTGCACCAGAGACCTGGGGCTTTTGCCATCTACCTGGAGCCATGGCACCTGGACATCTTTGAGTTCCTGGACTTGAAGAAGAACACTGGGAAGGAAGAGCAGAGAGCCAGAGACCTCTTTTTTGCACTCTGGATTCCTGATCTCTTCATGAAGAGAGTGGAAACCAACCAGGTAAGAAGCTCAGTTGGCACTGGATAGGTCTGGTACTGGAGGGTAGGTGGGCAGCCCTGGGGTGGAGCTCAGGGAGGGCTGCACAGCTGCCTCACTCCTTGTTCCTTCCAGGACCTTCCTGAAAGAAGGGCCTGGAGGGACAGGACACAGGGAATGGCAGGGACAACTTTCACCAGCCCAGGTTGCTCCAATCCCTGTCCAACCTGGCCTGGAACACTCCCAGGGATGAAGCAGCCACAGCTGCAATGAAGAGTGTGCCTAAAGATTTCCTCTGGATGTTTCTCCATTGTGCAGGATTGGTCCTTAATGTGCCCAAATGAGTGTCCTGGCCTGGATGATGTCTGGGGAGAGGAATTTGAGAAGCTCTATGAGAGGTAAGAAGAATGAATACACCTGTGAGTTGTCTCATCCACTCGCTGAGCTGCCCGTGTGCTCCCAGAGGTGCCCGTGTGCCCCCAGAGGTGCAGTGTTGACGTTGCTGTGAGGACTCTGTACTCAGAGCTCAGCAGGGAGGAGGGGCTTGCCTGCCCAGGAGCCTGATCTGTTTGGGGACCCTGAGGGTGACTAAGCCCCTTGTGCCTGTCGCAGCTACGAGAAGCAAGGCCGCGTGCGCAGGGTGGTGAAGGCCCAGCAGCTCTGGTATGCCATCATCGAGTCCCAGACGGAGACTGGCACTCCTTACATGCTCTACAAGGACTCCTGCAACAGGAAGAGCAACCAGCAGAACCTGGGCACCATCAAGTGCAGCAACCTGTGCACTGAGATTGTGGAGTACACCAGCAAGGATGAGGTGGGTGGACAACGGGAGCTCTCAGTGTTGGGAAAGCTCTGGGTGCTCCTCTGGCAGCTCTCTGGGATATCATAGAGTCATGGAATGTTAAGGCCTTGGAAGGGACCTTAGAGGTCATCCCATCCCACCCCCTGCCCTGGGCAGGGACACCTCCCACCAGCTCAGGCTGCTCCAAGCCACATCCAGCCTGGCCTGGAACACTCCCAGGGATGGAGCAGCCACAGCTGCTCTGGGCAACCTGTGCCAGTGCCTCAGCACATCCCAGGGAGAAATTCCTGACCAATCTCCACCTGTCCCTGCCCTCTGGCAGTGGGAAGCCATTCCCTGTGTCCTGTCCCTCCAGCCCTTGTCCCAAGTCCCTCTCAGCTCTCCTGGAGCCCCTTGAGGCACTGGAAGGGGCTCTGAGGTCCACACAAACTAAGCCTAACCATTTCTCGTGTTCCCAGATCAGCAGCTGATCCCAGCGGGATCCAGGCTACACCATGGGAACTCGATGAGCTTTAGTGTCCCTCCCAACCCCAACCAGTCTGGAATTCTGTGCAAGGATGACTTGCAGGCAATAGGATTGTCCAGGCCAGAATTTTCCAGGTCACACCAATTTCTCCTAAACCTTTTGAACTGTCATTACCTCTTGCACAACTTGAGATCCCACAGGAACAAGGGATGCATTCTCTCAGCCCTGTAGGTTTGTTTCCATGCCCTTTGGATAGCAAACCCACCCTGGACCTGAGATGCTGTGGCTTTGGCATGAGGTGTTGCTGCCATGCCCAATCCCTTGTGCTCTTAGTTCAGGTTGGTCCTGAAGATTTTAGAGGTCTCTTCCAACCTTGATGAATCCATGGTTCTCTGACTCTGTGATTCTGTGGCTGCAGGTTGCAGTGTGTAACTTGGCCTCCATAGCCCTGAACATGTATGTGACCCCTGAGCACACCTATGACTTCAAGAAGTTGGCTGAGGTCACCAAAGTCATCGTCCGAAACCTCAACAAGATCATTGACATCAACTACTACCCAGTGCCAGAGGTGAGTGGAGCGATCCTTATCCCTACAGCCTTCTCACTCTTCAGCTCCAGCCAGGAGGTGCAGCCAGGTGGGCTCAGCCTCAGCTCCCAAGGAACAAGGGACAGGACCAGAGGAAACACCTCAGGCTGTGCCAGGGGAGGATCAGCTAGGCCATCAGGAGGGATTTCCCCATGGAAAGGGCTGTCAGGCACTGGAATGTGCTGCCCAGGGAGGTGGTGGAGTCACCACCCCTGGAGGGATTTAACAGCCATGTAGACATGACACTTGGGGTTGGGGTTAGGGTTAGTGGTGCCCTTGGCAGTGCTGGGGGTGCAGTTCCCATGGTCTTGAAGAGCTTTTCCAGCCTCAGTAATTCCATGATTCTGCTCTATAAATGTCTTCTGGGCCTGTTTTGCAGAAGGTGCTGAGTGTTCACCTGTCAGTCATGACTCCCTTTGCCAGGTTAAATGCTCAAAATGTGTGATCAGCTCTAACCACCTCAGTTTGGGCCTCCCAACTCCTGCCCAGGAACTGAGGCAGGAAACAGCGTGGCCCGGGGCAGGGCCAAGAGCTGTGTTGGTGCAGTCCATGAGAGCCAAGGCAGTGGCACAGCTGCAGGTGCCTCCGAGAGGTCTCTTCTGAGCCTGTTTGTATGGCTGTGTGGAAGGTGGTTGTGCTGACTCCTGTGCCCTGTGCAGGCTGAGCGCTCCAACCGGCGCCACCGCCCCATTGGCATCGGCGTGCAGGGCCTGGCCGATGCCTTCATCCTCATGAGGTTCCCCTTCGAGAGCCCCGAGGCCCAGCTCCTCAACCAGCACATCTTTGAGACCATCTACTACAGTGCCCTGGAGGCCAGCTGCGAGCTGGCCAAGGAGCAGGGCCCCTATGACACCTATGAGGGCTCTCCCGTCAGCAAGGGGGTGAGTCCCAGTGCGATCCCTGCCCGGCAGCAGGGAAAAGCTCTGGAAAGGTGGTTGTGTGTCTGGGATGGTGCAGAGATGGGAAGGGACCTCAGTTGATGGTAAGTTGAGTGTGAGTCATGGTGTGCCTTGCAGGCAGGAGGGACAGCGTGTCCTGGGGGGCATCGGGCATGGCATGGAGGGAGGGATTGTCCTGCTCTGCTCTGACCTGGGGCAGCCTCACCTTGAACGCTGTGACCAGTTTTGGATGCCTCAGTGTAAGAGATTTAAAGCTCTTAGAGAGCATCCAAGGAGGGACACGGAGATGGGGAAGGGTCTGGAGGGGCCACACGAGGAGTGGCTGAAGCACTTTGTGTGTTCAGCTGGAGCAGAGGAGACTAAGGGCAGAGCTCAGCAGGGTCTGCAGCTCCTCCCGAGGGGCAGTGCAGGGACAGCTCTGATCTCTGTGCCCTGGGACAGGGACAGGATGAGGGAACAGCTGGAGCTGTGCCAGGGGAGGGTTAGGCTGGAGATTAGGGAAAGGTTCTTCCCCCAGAGGTGCTTGGGCACAACTCAACTCCCCAGGGCAGTGGTCACAACCACAAGGCTGACAGAGCTCCAGGAGGGTTTGGCCAATGCTCTCAGGCTCAGGGTGTTGGGGTGTCCTGGGCAGGAGCTGAGGTTGGACTGGTGATCCCTGTGGGTCCTTCCAGCTGAGGACACTGTGTGGTTTGAAAAGAAAGGCAGGACTCAGCCTGTGCTGGCTGTGCCCTGAGCACACTCAGGTTGTAAGGTCATGATACAGGAGCTTTTCTGAGGCTGAGTTGGAGAGAAGAGTTAACAGGAATAACATGTCCATTTCCAGTGGGGTTTATAGAACATGGAGAAAATATTTCCCTCTCTCATTTGGACCAACCTGTGTTCCTCAGATCCTCCAGTATGACATGTGGAATGTCACTCCTTCAGACCTGTGGGACTGGAAGGCCTTAAAGGAGAAGATTGCCAAGTGAGTACTGCACAGCTTGTAGTAGATGTGAAATACATCCATGGAATCAAAGATTGGGATTGGTTGGGAGGAACCTTGGAGACCATCCAGTGCCACCCCCTGCCATGGGCAGGGACACCTTCCTCTAGCCCAGGTTGCTCCAAGCCTTATCTAACCTGACCTGGAACCTGAATTTGGTATGTTCTGACTACCTGAAAGCTAAAGGCAGAGTCCAAGCACAAACCACCCCCATGTGTCCCCCAGCCCAGCAGATCTTTATTCAGAGCTGTTGTTTGGGTGTCTTGCTTTCATTTTTGTTGTCCCAAGGCAGTGGAGCTGCCAGCAGGGAAAAGCTGAGCCTTGAATATCCTGAAGACAGGAATTGTTGAAGCCTGTAGTGCCTGTAATGAGTTAATTCCATGTGCTTGGCTCTGATTTTGAAGTGTGGTACGTCTGTCCTAGGTATGGGAAGAGGCCTTAGCTCTTCATGGGTTGCTCCTTTGATTCTGCCTGGGCACTGTGGGCTTGGGCAGTGCCTCATAAATTGTCTTCTCTGCACCCATGGCTAAATACCTTAGTAAAGCCTCTGGTTACAGCTGGAGATAAAAAAGCCTTCAGGTCTGCCTCCTCTCGCCCCACAGTACCAGTGTATCATAGAATCATAGAATCAACCAGGTTGGGAGAGACCTCAAGGATCATTGAGTCCAACCCTACCTCCAGTCTCATCTTGAAAACCTCCAGGGATGGTGAATCCACCACCTCCCTGGGCAGCACATTCCAATGCCTGATCACTCTCTCCGTAAAAAATCTCTTCCTAATATCCAACCTAAACCTCCCCTGGCAGAGCTTGAGTCTGTGCCCTCTTGTCGTTTTGCTGGTT